GTGCTCAGGTAATCTCAGTTTGTGGTCTTTCCTGCCACAAGGGATTGCTTCGGGGTAAACTACTGAGACTCAGGCCTCTATTAAATTTATTGGTGTCTGAGTCCAACTCTGGCAGGTGATAATGGTTGGAAGAAAAGCACCTCCTTTGGGTAATCTGTTCATTTTAGCTTTTCATGGCTGATTCCTTCAGGTTTGTTTCAGCCTACAACTCTCAGGTCGCATTCCATCACTAAGGGACATCAGGGCAGGGAACTGGGGACAGGAGCTGAAGCAGAGACCACAGAGCAGTGCTGCTTACTGGCTTGGCTCCTCACAATGTGCTCAGTTTGCTTTCTTTTTTTTTTCTTCTTTTTTTTTTGCTGTTTACCTTTTTTATTTATTTTTTTTTAATTTTTTATTGAGAAAAGGATTAAAAAAACATAAACAAAAAACAAGTTTCCACCTCCTCCCAGCCTCCCATTTCCCTCCCCCTCCTCCCACCCTTCTTCCCCTCCCCCCACTCCTCTCCCCCTCCCTCTCCAGTCCACAGAGCAGTCCGGGTTCCCTGCCCTGTGGTAAGTCCTAGGTCCTCCCCACTCCGTCCATATCTAGGAAGGTGAACATCCAAACTGTCTAGGCTCCCACAAAGCCAGCACATTAAGTAGGATCAAAATCCCGTGCCATTGTCCTTGGCGTCTCATCAGCCCTCATTGTTCGCCATGTTCAGAGAGTCCGGTTTTATCCCATGTTTTTTCGGTCACAGTCCAGCTGGCCTTGGGGAGCACGGAACCACAATTCTCAGTTAAGGGAGCCACTTTAGGGTAGGCAAGAGACTTGACCCTAGAGGGGCTCCCAGGTGCCCAAGGCGAGGTACCCAGTTAGTTCCTTGGGCAGCTGAGGATAGGGAACCTGAAATGACCCTATCCTATAGCAATACTGACGAATATCTTGCATATCATCATAGAACCTTCATCAGGTGATGGATAGAGATAGAGACTGAGACCCACACTGGAGCACTGGACTGAGCTCCCAAGGTCCCAATGAGGAGCAGAAGGAGGGAGAACATGAGCAAAGAAGTCAGGACCACGAGGGGTGCATCCACCCACTGAGACAGTGGAGCTGATCTACTGGGAGCTCATCAGTTTGCTTTCTTAAACGACTCGTGCTCACCTTCCAGGGTTGACGCTGCCCACAGTGAGCTGAACCCTCCCATGTCAATCATTAATAAAGAAAAGGCCCCAAGGATTTTCCCACAGGCAAATCTGATGGAGTTAATTTCTCAGTTCCTTTAAGATGACCTAAGTTGTGCCAGGTTGACAAAAAACTCAGGAGCACAAATGACCCCTTGTCACCTCAAAACACAAATACATCACTCTCAAGCCCTAGCCTTTCTTTTTCATTTAACCCCAATGTCTCTTGTACATAACACAATATAAAACAAGTGTAACTTTAAAACTCTCATAGGCTTTAAATTTTTCAACACTTGTAAAGTCCAATCTCTTTTAAAAGAAAGTTTTTTAAGTCCAAAATCTTTTAACTGCAGACTTCTGTGAAATCAAAAGAAAATTAAGAGCTAGAGTAATAGCTCAGTGGTTAAAACACTGCCTGCTATTGCAGAGGACCCATGTTCAGTTCCCAGCACCCATCCGGCAGCTCACAGTTGTCTGTGAATCCAGTTCTATGAAATCTGGGCTTTCCTAGCCTCTGCAGACAGTGCACATATGTGGTACACATAGATGTATGCTGACAAACATAAAATAAATCTTTAAGAAATATATAAGGAGGGCAGAGAAACCTCTCAGTGCTTAAGAGGACTTGATGCTTGTTGGAGAATGCCACTCTTTGGTTCCCGGATGCTCAGCCCTGAAATAATCACAAATAAACTATACTATTTAAATCACTGCTTGGCCCATTAGCTCTAGCTTATTATTGGCTAACTCTTACATCTTATTAACACATCGCCAATAATCCGTGTAGCACCATGAAGTCATGGCCTACCAGCAAAGTTTCAGCAGTCTGTCTCCAGCAGTGGCGCCATGGCTTCTCTCTGACTCTGCCCTTCTTCCTCCTGCTATGGGACAATTCCACAGTTGAAATTCACTCTTCTCAGATGATTTTAGCTTGTGTAATGTTGACATTAAAAATTAACCACCATATCATGCAACTAATTAGAGTGAACATTAAACACCTGCTTGCTACCTCACAGTTCTGAAGGCAGGAAGAATGCCATGCTCATTAGGGGAAGGCTATGCAAACGGATATTACATGATCATTTCCCAGCCTCCCAGACCCAAATAATCACACAAAACTGTATTAATTAGGATAATGTTTGGCCAATGGCTCAGGTATATTTCTATCTAGTTCTTACATCTTAAATTAACCCATTTCTATTAGTCTATGTATCCCCATGAGGCTGTAGCCTACTGGTAAGTGCTGATATCTTTCTCTTTGGGCAGCTACGTGGAGTTTGCCTAACTCTGCATATTTTTTCTCCCTGCATTCAGCTCTCTTTTGTGTTCCCTGACTAGTTCTCTTTTGCTCTGCCACAGATGAACATCATCCTTATTAACCAAGAGTAATAAAAGAAATTCACAGCATACAGAGGGGAATCCCACAACATACAACAGATAAAATGGGCCATGGGTGCTTTTTGTCTGCACTTATAGTACATGAAACCACACATAAAGTGGGCCGGTATCTTAAAGGCTGTTCGCTGAAGGAGTTCTCACAACAAGGCTATCCTAGGAGGTACTGGGTAAATGCTAGCAGCCTCAACTCTGCAGGCTCTGCAGGCTCTGCAGGATTGAGGTTCCATCTCCTCCCTTACTGTTAGCTGAGGGCCCCCATTCCCAGTACACACCCATCAACAGCTGTGGCATGGCTCTTTCCCCCACCCTGGAAGCTCGGTGCAGTCAGAGCAATCTCCTCTTCAAAAAGCTCCCAGTCTAGATGCATCCACATCATGCCCTTTTAATGGACTCAGAGTCAACTGATCCTGAATTTAATTACATCCACAAAATCTGTTTTGCCATGCAATATGGCATAGCCACAGCTGTGCTGTCTCACCCGACTCTGTCCTAGAGAATAGGGCAGAAAATTACAGGGAACCATAGCAAAATTCTGTGTATCACATTATAAAGGCAGCTACCCTCTAGTCCCAAATTATCTAGTCTTGTTTTCTTAGCTTTGGCTTCCTAGACAAATATCTTCTGTAGCAGCTTAAATATCAGGCAGTTCTGGAAAGTCTGGGGTCAAAGTGTTGGTCAAGACAGGTCCTTCTAAAAACATTCTTCTTGTTATACAAACAGATATTTTCTTATCCCCTATGCTGTATCTTCTGTGGCAGAAAGACCATCACTCTAATCTCTTGTCATAAATGTGTTAAGGGTAGTACTCTTGTGGACTGATGCATTATTTCTGAAATCATCAAGCCCATCTATAGGGTGGAACTCTCATGGACTACTGGGAGTACTATCTCTCCAGAGAAAGTACAAGCAAATGGAGACCCAGTGACCCCTACTCACATGTGAGCAGCAGGGGATTCTGGAAAGAGGCTATAGTGGACAGGATGCAGAAACATGTTGAACTAGGGATTAGGGTGTTCAATGTAGTGAGATCAGATTCAGATGAGACCGGGCAAGGCCTGACCTGATATGTACTGTTATATCCCCTAGATTACCATGTTGGAGCCTATTTCTCCATGTGTCATGCTTGAAGGCATTCTTAGGATTTCTATTGCTGTGAAGAGACACAATGACCATGGCAACTCTTACAAAAGAAAGCATTTAATTGGGGTTGCTTACAGTTGAGAATGTTACTCCATTGTTTTCATGGTAGATGGCATGTAGTCAGACACAATGTTGGAAAGGTAGGTGAGAGTTCTACATCTTGATTGTGGGCAGTAGAAGGAGCCAGTGTGTCACAATGGGTGTAGCTTGAGCATCTGAGACCTCAAAGCCCACCCTCACAATGACCCACTTCCGCCAGCTGTTCTGAAGCTTTCTAATGATATGTTGGCATTTGCCTATTCCACTGCTCTAGAGACATCTGCAGAGTACACAGTCTTATTTATATTTTAGCATTTTGCTCTAAAATAAGATTTCAGATGGGCCATGTGAGTTCACGTGCACCATTATGCCCTGCTGGTTTAGTTTTGTACGGGGCCTGAAACACCTACTTACAGGTAACTGTTATTGCCCCTAATCCAGCTAATTAAACCACAGATAAGATATAATATCCTAAATATAGAGACTGTAATCTGTCTAGATGGGGAATCTTTAACCACTTCAAGGATCTGTAGAACATGGCATTTAAATAACTTAGGGTTCTGTTGACATGAGACATGACTGCTTCTGACAGCACCAATCTATTCCAAGAGAATGCTGAGCACCAAAGACACACCAGTTGGAGCTTGTTTTTTTCTTGGCAAAATTGGCCTTTGGGCAAAGAACTGACAATGCCTCAACCACTGACATGTTATATGATATCCAGAAATGGATATGCAGGACTGTCAAATCTTGCCCAGACAGAATAAGACTGTTTTGAAATTTTTCCTGCCTCTGAAAAGGGTCTGTCAGTTATGCTAGGCCATATCCAAAGTTGGTTGCTTCAACGTTGCAAAATAAGATTTTGGGTGATTGCTCAGGTAGCTAATTATCTCTGTCATATATTGCTTGCTCTGGAAGCTACTTGAGATTGTACTTCCTGCCTGCTCAAGTAATATTATCTCCCTTCTCAGGCTTTTGATGGGATTGAAGATTAGATAGTCATAGTTACTTTCCTCTTATGATCTAGCCAAGTCATTTCCAATACAAGACTTAGTCTCCTTAGGATAGAATGTTTATTAAAACATCTAGCATATGTTCCTTGCTTAATATTGTTTATGTTGATTGTAATTCTAATCTTATACTTGATATCTGTTCCAAGTCTATATTGTTTTGTATTGGGTTTGGAACTCACTTAAACAAATGGGGGGGGGTGTGCTACAAGAGCTCCTTCTGCTCCTTCAGCCAATAGCCTTTAAGATACCAGCCCACTTGGGCGTGGTCTCTTTTGCTTTAAAAAGCAGCTGTAGCCATTCACTCTCTCTCTCCTGCATCTGGCTTCTGGCTATTAGACTTCATTCCTGATCACGCAGAGGGCTGTTGTCTGGGAGTGTGATCTGTAAGTTTTTTCCCCTTAAATAAATAATGTTTTTATTAATTATAATTCCAAACTGGTGTACAATTGTTTTGGACTTACGCCTTCATGGGAGTCTTTGGATAAGTAAGTTGCCATGGCTGCTCATTCCAACCTGTAAAATGGGAATGATCACATCGATGGCTTCATTTGTATACTGAGCCCTGAAATGAGCAGATGAAGGCATGTCTCAAACATTGAGAACATAGGGCAAAGGCCTGAAAGTCAAGATCTGTTATTGCTCTAGTGTATGCAGGGCATTGAGAACAGCACTCTTTGCCTTCCTCCTCCTTTCCTCCTTCTCTCTCTACCCCTGAAAGTTCCCAGCAAGGCCATCCCAGATCTTCCCAAAGTATCACCAAAGGTTATTAAAAGTTTGCACCAGAGGTTCCCCTCAGACAGAAGAGCAATCCTGTTCCTGAGAGTTCTCCAGTATCTGCCAGTAAATAAGTAAGTCCTGGGGAGTTACAGAGTGGCAGGTCACAATTTTCTGAAAGCGACACACGGAGAACCTTAAGCTATCTGGGAAAAAGGTTGGTTCAGTATGGAGTTCCTCAGGCTGGATCTTCAGCATGGCCAAGCAGAGCCCAACAAACACATCCTCCAGCTTCAGGAATGGAACACTATCTGAGACATCATATACTTTGCTGGCCACATCACTAGAAAAGACATAACCTGTCCCAGAGCAAAATGGTGGGTACTTGTCCTGGGGATATTCAAATTTACTCACAAACCACTTGTTGGACTTTTTCCTGATGGGAAGATCATTGGACTTTATGTAGCCCGTGAAGAACCTGGAGGTTTTGTTTTTCTTCAGCAGCAGGTCAGTCAGATAGCCAACATTCACAAACACATCTGAGTCTGTTTTCATCACAAAAGCTGCCTGAGGACAATAGTGGTGCACCCATTCCATGCCCATCATTGTCTTCAGGGTCAAGTTGTAATAGACGTCCTTGAAATCCTTCTGTATGATGTCATGGTGCTGCTTGCCCTCCTGAGCTGTGGCATTCATCTCATCAGGGCTATCTGAGGCCCCCAGAAGGAAGAGGGTCTTCACAGGCTGCCCCTGCACCTTTGTTTCTCTACCCCATGTCTTGCGGATGGCCATGCGAGCCTCCAGCTGCTTGTGGGATGAAGTCACCAGCAGCACAAGGAAAGGGGGCTTCTGCTTGCAGTCTATATCTGGAAGCTGAAGAAACTTCCCATGACCTTTCTTGAAAGCAATTGGTGGTTCCTCAAAAGGCTCCATGCTGAAGTACAAGCAAAGAGCACCCATCATCAGAATGAAAGCATAAACCAGCCTCATGTTCATGAACTCCATCTGAAAGAACAAAGACAAACTGCCAGGTCTCCCAAGAGAGAGGCTGGAGTAACAGATACCCACACACAAGATCAGAGGGCTTTGTTCTGGCATTCCAAGCCTAGCACCAGGGCTAGAATTTATATGTTATAAGGTACTAACAGAAAAGTATTTGATAGTTCCCAACACAGGACTAGAGAGACCACTCAGTGGTTAGGAGCACTTCCTGCCTGCAACCACCTGTATCTGCTGCTCTAGTGGATCCGATGCCCTCTTCTGGCCTCTGTGGGTACTGCACACAAGTGGAGCACAGATAAACATGCAAACAAAATTCCTTTATATGTAAACTAAAAACTTTTAAAGTTTACTCAAAGAGTTCCAAACACAAATGAAAAGTAGATAATATACCAACCCCACATATACAAAATTTAAAATTTAAAACTGACCTTTCAAAAAATATGAGTTGATGTGCCAGGTAGGTGAGATAGATGAAGAGATCCACAGTTTAAAAAACTCTGTCGGGGCTGTAGAGATGGTTCAGAGGTTGAGAGCAATGGCTGCTCTTCCAGAGATCCCTATTTCAATTCCCAGAAACCACATGGAGGCTCACAGCCATCTATAATGAGACCTGATGCCCTTCTCTGACATGCAGGTGTACAGGCAGAGCACCCATGCATAAAATATAAGAAAGGAAAAGAAAGAGAGAAAACTCTGGACTCTTTCAGCACATAAAAATGGAGGTCATTCCTCTACAGTGAAGCACACAGGACAGCCTGTCATGCTGTCCCGCAGTGCCACACTGACAGCTTTGGGATTCTAGATGTAGTTCCCAGCTCTGGGACCTGCCAGCCCTTCACTGATGGGATATTCAGACTCTTTGTCCTTCAGTAGATGGGACCGGATCTCCAAACAGATCCTCAGCTCTGACCTCTGGTGACTCCATGACAAAGAATGTCACAATACAGCTAGACAACCTGTAGATCTGACAGCTGTACATTCAGGGTGCAAGCAGAGGACTGGAAGCAGTGCATTCTGGGTGCAATCACATGACTGGCTTTGGAGGCCCAAAAATGAGCCTTTTTCCACATTGACAAGGTCGGAGAGTTGAAACTTACCTCTAGTTCCTTCAAGGTTATTCTGCCTCCACCTCAAAGGTCCCACCTAGCTGTAGACCAGGAGTTTTGCTCTCTCAAGGTTATTGTGAACAGTTATGGCTAAGAGCCAGATTTTGACTTCAGGAATAGAGAGGTAGATATTTTCCTACCTTAAACAAAAGTCTAAAGATCCAACTAAGGGTCCATTTCCTATATGGAGATAACTTTGGGTTCCACCCAGGGAGTGGTTTGCCTACAGAGTGTTTTGGTCTAGGGTGTAAGAGTGACTTGTTTTGAACATTTAACTAGGGATGTAGCACACAACCTTCAATAAGTAGGTAGATTCCTTTGTATCGTGTTAATGTAGTTTTTGTTTACTCCTACCTTTTCACGTCAGGGGTATTTAAAGAAACTGGCACTTAAACGTGGGCATTTTTCAGTCCTCACTGGAATTCTTTCCTGATACTATAGTATTTGTTTCTCCAGTTTATTATTTCCATTTGCATCTTCATATTCTTTACTATATTTTTAAATCCCCATGGGCTCTACCCTGGCAAAAGATACTTTTGTTGGCACTGACCCCCAACAAATGGCCACAGACTGCTCTAATTAAGGATGTTCAAAAAGAAACTCTTCACACTTTGAGTTCCTGACAACTCATGTGTCTGAACTCTTGGTCTGCAGCCAACGGTGCTGTTGGAAAATGTTGTAGAACCCTTTATGAGATGGGGCCGAGCTACAGAAGTGAGTCCTGGAGGATGAGTGTTGAGTTTATGGTACTGTCCACTTCATGTCCTCTCTCTGCCTCCTGATCTACAAGATATGAGCAATAATCTCACGCCCTGCAACCACAGCTACAAACTGCTCCCAGTGGTGTGTATGTGTTCCTGCTGCAAAGGAGAATCACCTCAAATCAGGATCCAAAGTAAATCCCCCCACCCTGTAAGTCATTTCTCTTTACATATTTGGTCATAGCAATGAGAAAAGTAATGAACACAAAAGCACCTCTGGTTTTCTGATTTGCACAATTACCTTGAAATTCAGGAAACCTGGAATGTGGTGAGTTTGAGATCACCTGTGTTAGTGTTGTAACACTGAGAAAGAAAGACACTCACTTTTGCTGAGCAAGAACTTAGTTCTATCTGGAATGCTAAGCCACAGGGTATAATTCACGATGGATTGAATTCCTTGTGAAGAGCAGGTGGTGACCAATGTTTCACCCTACTTTCCAAGACAATCTTCTGGACTCGGTTTGTCAACCAAAACTGAAGACTGTGTCTCTCAGGAATAACTAGGAAAGAAAAGGATAGAGTCGAGTTGTTTTCACTTTCCTTCATGCTTTGCCCTCTCCCTGTGTGACCTTGAGTAAGTGGATGAGCTGAATTCCTGGACTCAGTTTTGTGACTTCTAAAATGGGTACAACTGGGACACAGAGTCAACCATAAGAATCACCTGCATACAACAACAAACAAATATCTAAGAATCCTCTTAGGTCTCACAAAGATAGACCCTGTGGTGGTTTGTAGGAGAATGGCCTCTGTGGGTCTATATCTTTGAAGACTTTGTTATCTGTGGGTGGAAGTTTCTGGAAAGGATTGGGTGTGTGGCCTTGGTGGAGAAGGTGTGTCACTGGATGTGGGCTTTGAGGTTTCAGAAACCCATGCCATTGTCACCTGTGCTCTCTTCCTTCCTAATGGCTGTGGATCGAGGTGTGAACTCTAAGCTGTTCCCGCCATTCATGTCTTTGCTGTCATCATGGACACCAACCGTCTGACACTATAAGACCAACTGAATTTTTATGATATCGTTTGCTCATGGTGTTTCCATTAAAGCAAGAGAAAAGTAATTAACATGGAAGTTGGTACCAGGGAGTGGGATAGAGCCTGACTGGCCTGACCTTGTTGTGTTTTGGAGGAATGTAGAAGACAGTGGGGCTTTAGATGAGGAAAATGGTGGAACACTGAGTGCTGAGCTTAATGGGCCATCCTAGTAGGAGTGTGGCAGTAGTGCTGTGGACTGCAGAGGTCACCTCAAGAGGTTTCAGAGGGGAGCAATATTAGTAACAGGGATAGAGACAATACTTGTGATATTTTTACAAAGAATAGGGCTGCTTTCTGCCCTTGTATTAAAAACCTGTCTGACAGGGAAGAGACAGAAATCTTTAATAAATAAATAAATAAAAATTAAAAAAAGAACCTGTCTGAGGGCTAGTGATGTGGGAGTGTCATATATCAATCTGTTGATTTCATTGGTTAAGCAATAAAGAAACTGCTTGGCCCTGTGGGTGGAGTAAACAGAACAGGACGCTGGGAGGAAGAGGAAGTGAGCTCAGTCTCAACAGCTCTCCTCTCGGGAGCAGACGCCTGAGAGAGACGCCATGCCCCGCTCCCGGGATGAAGCTCCGACCCAGGATGGACATAGGCTAGAATCTTCCCAGTAAGCGCACCTTGGGGTGCTACACACAGATGATTAAAAATGGGCTAAATTAATATGTGAGAATTAGCCTAGAAGAGAATGGGCCAAGCAGTGTTTAAAAGAATACAGTGTCCGTGTAATTATTTTGGGGCATAAGCTAGCCGAGCAGGCAGCCGGGGTGCTGGGGACGCAGCCCCGCCACTCTTATTACTACAGGCTAGAGAGATGGCTCTGTAGTTAATAGCACTGGTTGTTCTTCCAGAAAACCTGGGTTCAGTTCCCAGCACTCACATAGCAGTTCACAATTGTTTGTAGTTCCAGTTCTGGAAGATGTGATGTCCTCACATCAATGCACACAAAACAAAGTTTAAAAAAAAAAAGAATTGGTGTGCATTTAAAACAAAAGAATATGCCTGAGATAAATTGAAGAGTAAGGGATTAAGTTCTGTAGTAGTTGTAATTATTCAGCCACAAATAAAGCTGCACTTCTGAGTTCTAGAGCCATGTACATGCACAGAAGCCCTCAGGCAAAAGTGCCTGAGTGATAAAGCCCCCCTCATGTTACCCATGTGCACACATGTGTGTTTACATTCACTGACTCAGCTAAGCCCTTGTATGCATGTGTGAGCCCATCATCTGCATTATCTGAATATGACATAGTCACGCCAACCCCTGTGTGCTGCACTAGGCAGCTTTAAAAAAGCTGAATGCACCATCTTTCTCTCTCTGCACACCAATTCCCACAGGTCTGTACACGCCCCTCTAATAAATTCCTAAGCAGGTTTGTTGCATGTTTGGTATTTCCTTCTTACTTATGCCAGGCAATTTCAATAGTTTGAATATAATTGGCCCCCATAAGCGCGTAAGGAGTGGCACTATTAGGAGGTGTGACCTTGTTGGAGGTCATGGTGTTTCTTCACAGCAATAGAAACCCAAAGACAGTTTCACTGGCAGAGCAATTTCAAGACAGGCCAATACTGACTTTCTCATGTGGTTACTAGTGATACCCTTAGGCAAACATACAATAAAAAAGAGTGGGTGGAACAAAAATTAATATAAAATGTTTGAGTAGAAAAACGGCACCAGGGAAATTTAATGTTGGAATTCAGTCTTGAGCTGAAAGAAATAAGGGGATTAAAGAAAGGCCTGACCCAAACTAGAATAAAGCAAGGGTATTCTCAGGGCAAGACCCCACTCAGCTAATCTTCCATCTTGTAAGAGGGAGGCCTAAGGAATTTTCTGTTCCTAAAGAGCAACAACAAAGAAAAGATCCTGAAAACAGGATTCAAGGAGACAGCCAGACTTGGAACTGTCACCAAGAAGGTTCTGGGATGAGGGGTTGTGGAGTCTTCCTCTGTGGTTAAGGAGATCTGAGGAGGCCAGGCAGTAGTTTATGGTAAGAAAAACCCCTGCAAAAGTTAGAAGCCCTGAGAGTTCATTGCATGAAACTATGAAACTGAAGCCTGGGTTGCACGGAGACTCCAAGATGTTAGACTTGTCAGATTCATGGATATGTGCCAAGGAGAGCTGCACAGAGGTGTGGAGCATGAGAGGGATGTGTGGTACAGGGAGCACAGTGGGAAGGGAAGGGCCAGCTAAGCCCAGTGACACTGGGTATGGAGCTACAGGATTTGGACTTTGCCGTGTTTAGTCTCCATATTGCTTTTATCCAATATTTCTTTACTATGCTTTCTTTCTCCCCTTTGGAATGGTAAAGTATATTCTCTGACACTGTGTGTTGAAATTATTTAATATACTTTTTGATTTTATTTTACAGGTGGTTACAGTAAAGAGTCTGCCTTGGTCCCAAAAGGAGACTTTGGACTTTTAAACTGAGTTAAGACTGTGAGAGACAATGGAACTTCCTGAGTTGGACTAAATCCATTTTGCAGTTCAGTATAGCTACAAGTCTGTGGAGTCAGAGAGTGAACTGTGGTGGTTTGAATAGGAATGGCTGAGAGCAGTATTCTCAGAGAACCTGAATTCAGGTCCTAACACCCATGTCAAGAGGTTCACAACTAGCTGCAACTGCAGTTCCATGGAATCAACCACCTTCCTGTGGCCTCAGGAGGCAACTATATTCTATGTGAAAACCCACACAGAGACATAAGCACATAAAATCTTAAAAGTAAATAAAATTTCATCTTTAGAAATCATTAGTGTGTGTATATGTTTTGTGTGTGTTTATGCTATAATGCAAGTGTGAAGGTCAGACAAAAGCTTGCTGGAAGCCCAGTTCTCTCCTTCCACCACATGAATCCAGGTCTCATGTCATCAGGCTTCCTGGACAAAGTACCTTTACCTCCAAGGTGCTTTTACTCTGGACACATCACAGAGGTTAAAATTCTCACGTGTAGACACTCCCCTCCTCTACTGCATCACCCTCTACATAAACATCGAATGACAGCCTTTGATCAAAGTAGAAGCCATACCAAATGCCAATACTCCATGGATTTTCTGTTCCAATAAAGGGTGGAACATTTTTCCTGTCTATAATAGAATTACCAAGAAAATGTGTCCAAAATGACACCCTTCGTATTTCCATATACAAAGTAGGTTTTTGTGCCTTGAATTGAAGACTCAGGGAGTAGAGTTAGAGAGACACAGTAACCATCAGGAAACAGATTAGGACAGCGTTTTTCTGGAAGGGCATAATGTATCCCCAGATTGCAGTCCCAAGGTTCAGGTAGGCAGGAACAGTTGGTCACTGTATGTAAAGTTAACAAAATGTTGAAACTTTGGAATAAATGAGTGACTGAGCTTGGGGCTCGGGAACAATCTTTGTACACTGTAAACATGTACTTTTCTCATTGTTAATAAAAAAAACTAATCAGCTGATAGCTAAACAGAAGGTATAGGCAGGACAGCCAGACTAAGAGGATGCTGGGAGGAAGAAGGGCAGTATCAGGAGTTGCCAGGAGATGCAGAGAGAAGCAAGATTGGGGTTCTATACTGAGAAAAGGTACCAAGCCATGTGGCAAAACAGTTAAGAAATATGGGTGGTGTAGGAGGTTCTACTGTCTATGTGTTGCTTTCATTGGTTGAATAAAGAAATTGCCTTGGCCTTTTGATAGGGAAGCACTTAGGTAGGCGGAGTAAACAGATCTGAATGCTGGGAAGAAGGGCAGATGGAGAATGCCATGGATCTCCTGCCTGGGACGGACTCTGATTAGAATCTTGTCAGTAAGGCAGAGTTATGTGGAAATATACAGGAATGGGTTAAATTAAGATGTAAGAATTAGCCAATAAGAGGCTAGAGATAATGGGCCAGGCATTGACTTAATTAATATAATTTCTGTGTGATTATTTCAGGTGTAAGCTAGCATGCAGACAAAATGAAAAGCAGGCCCTCTCTCCCTCATATGGGTTAATTCAAATGTAAGAGTTACCTACCTAGTAAAAAGCCTGAGTTATTGACCAAGCATTTCTAATTAGTGTAAGCCTCAGTATGATTACTTGGGAGCTGCTGGTGGGACAGAAGCTTCCATCTACACCTTAGGCCACTTAATCTTTAACCTGTCGGATCTAAAAAGATCCATTCTGCTGAGTGTAACAGAAAGGACAAAGCAAGTAGTGACTAAGGGTGATGGACAAGGAATGAACTCATGGGTCACGCACAGTTTGAAACCAGAGAAGAGCAATGGTTCCCCTAGTGAATCCCATCGCAGTATTACCAGGCAATACTGAGCTAGCCCTTCACAGAGAAAGACAGTTTCATGATTTGCCAGGAAGGCAAGCCTCAGGTCACACATT